AAACAGTTTCTTTGGCCCTTTAATCAGTTACATGGACACTGTAGAATTGAGTTAACCACTAGCTTATTACTAACCACTTAGATAACTTCTATTTTTTGCTTATTATAATAATACTTGGAAGAGCATCTTTGTATGTATATCTTAGTCTACATTTCCTGCAATTTCCTTTATATAGATTCTCTCTTCCTTCCTGAAAACACTATTACAAAATATTTTAAGTATACAGAAAAGACTGCACAATGCATGTAAAGTATAGCATGAAGAAAAACATCCTACTTGCTAAATCTCAATATTTCACCATGTTTGCTTCAAGTTCTTTCTTTTTTCCCCCCCAAAGAAATGAATTGCTGAAGACATAATGAGGCCCCATGGGTAAACCACACTCATTCCAGTCCCTGCCCCTGGCCCAGAGGAAACCATTTATGAGAAATTGGTGTATGATTCCCATGGCTATTTTGGTACTTTTTCATGGTATGTGGTTTCCACATACAGTATGTAGTATTGATCTGCATATTTTAAAACTTGATGTAAATAATACAACATGACACCTATTCTTCCATTCACTCCTTTCATTTAACAACCTGTTTTGAACTTTTTTCTATACTGTGGTGTATTCAGATCTAGTTCATTATGTTTGCCACTATATAAGATTCTCCTCTATACCATGAGTCATGGACCCATTCTGCTCTTAATGCACTTCTAAGTCTTCTAATATTGTGCTGGGGCAACCCTTACAGCAAGGAACATTATTGTGCATATTTCTGAAGGCAGTCATGCAAGAGTTTACCTCAGGTAGCTATCTGGAAGTGAAAGAGTTGGCTTTTACTTTTCCTCTGTTGCCAACTTGCACTAAAAAATGTATACATGAGAATATATGTCTTTTAAGTCATTTAATTCTAGTGAGCAATATGTACTTCAATTTCATCTCAGTCCCATTGTACAGATTCGGTGCCTGAAGGACAGAGAAAGATTTGTCAACAGTAACATCACATGGCAGCTCTCCCACAGCAGTCATCCTCTGAGCACCTGCCAGGGTGTTTTGCTAAATAAACTTACCTTCTGTTTTTCTTCTCTTCAAAAGGGATTCTGCCACCTGCTTTTAAATAATGCATGCTCTTAAATAATACATATTTCCATCATGAGTAAGTAGGTGGAAAGGTGAAAGTTTCCCTTTGCTTGGCTCCTTTATTTTCTCAAATTGTCTCTGCACTCTGACCTTTGGCCTCCATACATATCGTCAGAAAGGAGTGCTAATCTCTCAGCAGAAAGGTTTTCCTTCCCATCACTTTGAGCTGGAGTTGACACTTTGAACTTTGAAAGGGGGTTGATATTTATTCAAATCTCCTTAACATTTCAAACATCAAGTATTAACGTCCGTAGAAGTTTGGCTCAGTTCTGACTTTGGGCCACAGCTCAGGGTACAGAGGGTCTCCCCGCACTGTAATGTCACGTGTTCTGGGAGCTCTGGGACCTGGGGGTGGGTCCAGTGTCCTCTGCCCACCTTCTGCCTTCCCGGTTCCCTCGCGGTGCTGCTGAAGGGCTGGCACAGCTGGAGGGAGGCCACCTGGGCAGGTGTGAGTGGCTTGGTCCCTGCCCTTGGTGGAGCCTCCTCCACGGCCCACAGGGCCCAGAGAGCAGTTCCTCTTGTCCTCTTTCCCGCTGTGAATGGCCTCTTCCCTGCCGTCATGTCTGCTGTGCATTTATACAGCCCAGTCCACAAGAGCAGAGCAACTTTTTTTCTTAATTCTGGGTTTTCCTCAACCTCAGTCCTTTATTCTCAGAGGCCATATACTCTTACGTATATTCACTTATTCGTTTGTTCATCAGACGTCTGCTGTTTGTTATGTGCCTGGTTCTATTCTTTTTTTAAAAAAATCTCTTATTTTTGTATGGTAATGGAGAGCTCAGGTATTTTGAATGTGTTTGCTGGTATCTGGAAATGTGACAAACTCTGGATACTTTCAAGACACTGATTAACTTCCAGAAGAACTTAGCTTACTGCTTAACCAGGTCTGCCTCTGTTTTTAGAGCTCCTGTAGTTGGAACTCTGGGGATGGTGGCTACTTTTCCTTTTGTGGATTCATAATTTTATTCATAATTTTATTTTACTAGAGTTACCTAGAAATGAGTTAGTTGTACTCATTTCTAGGTTTTTTGTTTGTTTTGTTTTGTGTATATCTCTGACTTTTTCCACCTAAGTGACAGATCAGAAAATTAATTCCCAGGCCTAGGAAGCCCTTGGCAGTAGACTTAAAGAAGACTGTAATAAGACTTAAATAAGTTATGCTGCTGCTGCATCGCTTCTGTCATGTCTGACTCTGTGCGACCCCACAGACGGCAGCCCACCAGGCTCCCCCGTCCCTGGGATTCTCCAGGCAAGAACACTGGAGTGGGTTGCCATTTCCTCCTCCAGTGCATGAAAGTGAAAAGTGAAAGGGAAGTCGCTCAGTCGTGTCCGACTCTTTGCGACCCCATGGACTGCAGCCTGCCAGGCTCCTCCGCCCATGGGATTTTCCAGGCAAGAGTACTGGAGTGGGTTGCCATTGCCTATACGAATATATCATACATGTAGCCAATAATATAATTTGCTAACTTTGTTTTGGAAACTAAATGGAAGTAAAGGAAATGTTTATTGATAATTTTTATGACTTCAGACTTTTTAAAAATAGCAATAAGTTTTCTCATATTTTCTTCCCTCCAGTTTCTTTCTTATAATTTTATAAATTAAAACTTGATTTGACATTATGAGTGTTAAGAATTACTCTTAAATAAAAGAATTGCTGTTCCAAACTTAAAGAAAAAGACTCAGCTCTCTCCTTAATAACCTGAAGTTATATACTCTCATAAAATGGTAATTAGGAACTTACAACTTAATAACTATTACACACCATTTAAAGAGAAGTAACATGAAATGATATAGAATTTGGAGAGAGAAGAATTAAGTTTTGGGCTCTGCTACTCACTAGCTCTTTGATCTTGGGTCACTAGCTTCCATTGTCACTATCACCCATTGGATGAGACAGTATCCACACTAGCACACTTTGAAGTCTCACTTTCATCACTAAAAAAAAAAATTAATCACACAGTGTTGAAGACTAGTTTAGAGGTATTGCAATGATGCTTGTAAAATTATAGCATGCTAATCAAATGTAGGGTGTCACTGCTATATAATTTTGATGTAGGGACATTTGGAAACACTCTGTTTTGGATCCATTCCTTGTGAAACCATGCCCCAGCCACGTGGATTTCAGCCAAAATCCTGTGATTCATGAATCTCTGGGTAGGAAGGTTGGAAACATGCAGACCTCCTAGAAAATGTACTTTTTCAAAGAATCCCCAGGGAAATGACTCATTCATGTGATTTTCTGAATTTTCTAATTCTAATCTTCATTTTCTACTGTCCTTATTTTGTCTAAAGAGGATTGCAATAAAAAAGACAGCTTAGAAAGGGGTGGAACAATATCTGCTACTCTCCAGACCTCTGAATTTGGAGAGAAATAAAGGAAACTAGAAGAGTCTTGCCTTTGTGAGGACATGGACTTGTAAAAATCCTCTAAAAGTGTGTGTACTGTTGATGATGGTATTTGTTCTTCTAGGAACCGTGTGATTTGTGACATTAGTGAGGTCTCTGTGCATCTGTGATCTTCTTGAAAATGGAGAGTCTTGGGAGGAGATATGGGATAGTATATGTGAAAGGCTGTATCCAGTTTCTGGCACATAGTAAACATTTAATGAATGGTTGCTGTTATTAATATTATTGTCCCCCCCCCAAAATGAGCTTATTTCCCCCAGCTTAAAGATTCATGGGCTTCTCTGGTGGCTCAGCTGGTAAAGAATCCACCTGCAGTGCAGGAGACCTGGGTCTGATTCCTGGGTTGGAAAGATCCCCTGGAGAAGGGAACAGCTACCCACTTCAGTATTCTGACCCAGAGAATTCCATGGACAGAGGAGCCTGGTGAACTATAGTCCATGACAATAGACAATGGAGTTCCACGGCAATGAGAAAATTCAATTTCACACACCGATTCAGCAATCTGGAGCAGGGGTAAGGGGGTGGGGTGGGGAGTCTGTAATTTAAACTCCATTCCACTGGCTCATATGGAAGGTCAGCCAAGTCCCAGCACAGAACTGAATAGACACAGAACCCTATATATTTTAAAATAATGGGGTAATTTTCTATTAATAAATCAGGCTCATATCACTATATCATTTGAAAGAATTCTACCATTTCTCTTCTTCTTGACCATAACCCTATGAAGAGCAAAAAGTTCCAGCAAATGCTGAGTTTCTGAAAATGAGTGATTCCTCATCATTTCTCATGTGTTTGCTCCAATATTCATTCTTGCATCAGCATGTTTTGTGAGACTGCTACGTGATGTAACTGTCCTGGAGTCACGAGAGGATGAGAGTGGGGAAAGGCATGGCATTTATAGACATCCAGGGACCTCATGGTGAGTTTCTTTGACACGGAAACTCCCACTGAAATGTCTGAAGAGTTCCTAGAAGTGACCAAAGACTCAGACATTCCGATGGATCCAAGTGACCAGACAATAGAATAAAGCACTGGGTTCCAGCAAATGTGTTTTCTTTCTTTTTAAGAAAAAACAATTATTATTATTTGGCTGTGCTGGATCTTTATTGTTGCGTACGGGCTTTCTCTAGTTGCTGTGAACAGGGGCTCTTCTTCCTTGCAGTGCACTGGCTTCTCTTTGTGGTGGCTTCTCTTGTTGCGGAGCACTGGCTCTAGGGCAAACGGGCTCAGGAATTGTAGCACTTGGGCTTAGTTGCTCTGTGGTGTATGGAATCTTCCTGAACAGGAATCGAACCCGAGTTACCTGCATTGGCATTGGCAGGCAGATTCTTAACCACTGGACCACCAGGGAAGTCCAAATGTGTTTTCCAGGTTGCCACTGTGCAGATAGATACTCCATAGAACAGGGCCTTGTAGATGCTGATCTGAAGTCCTGAACCACCATGTACCCAGTTGCCTTTCTTTGTAGGCATTTGATGGTGTAAGCTCTGCAACTGCCCGCCTTGCCGGTGTGTGTGGAAGACAGCAACTGAGGAACCCCATCATATCTTCCGGAAACAGCCTCTTCTTGCGATTTCAGTCTGGCCCTTCCAGACAGAGCCGGGGGTTTCGTGCTCACTTCAGACAAGGCAAGTTCCGTGTGGTCTCCCAAGGCACAGACCGTCTGTCCTTACCTCTCCCTCTTGGTGCTGCGATAAAATGAGACTAGTCCTTGGAAATTGTTCCCAGCTTTCCACTTAATGTGCGACGCTTTAAGAAGAACGAAGGAGTCATGGTTTGCAATGATTCTAACTGTTGGGACTTTTAACTCTGTCTTTGTCCTCCGGATCTCTGTATTCCTCAAACAGGATGTCAGAATCATACTGAAAAGTGTCTTCAATATTAGAAACACTTGTAAAGAAGTGTTTATCCAAATTCATTCATTCATAGATAAATGACCTAGCATTTATCTAAGATTTTATCCTAAGAGATACACTGCTATAAATTGCAAGACTTGTAACATAGAGTCAGATTCTAAGCCTTGAGGTAGTGGTTGCCCTTCACCCGAAGAATCAATGTTGTTTTCTGTTGTCTTTTTCCTTTCTTTCTTTTTAGATTTTATGTGGACCTTTAAAAAAAATCTTTTGAATTTGTTATACTATTGTTTCTGTTTTTATTTATTTATAATTTATTTTTGGCTAAGAGGCATGTGGGATCTTAGCTCCCCCACCAGGGGTCAAACCCACACCCACTGCCTTGGAAGGCAAAGTCTTAACTGCTGTCTCGCCGGGAAGTGTGTCCACCCCCCCATACCCCACTCCATTGTCTTTTTCTTAAATCACCACTTTCTGCTAGAGACCTTTCCATCCGTTGCCTTTTGTCTGGTATTCTTAGAGGTTAACCCTTTACCCACCATCAGAGAAGGAACCTAGAGTTGGAAGGGCTCCTGTCTGCTGAATATGCCTGTGATTTTATTTTTAGAGGATTCCTGTCCTTTCAAATAAGTGTGGTCTCTCTAGTCATTTCATCTGTTTCAGTGGACTCGCTTGCTCATTTTCTGTAGTAAAGAGCCCTGGCCAGGAAGAGTTTTTAGATGGAGGTCCCCTGAGGTTGCAATGTAGACTGTGGAGCAAGATTGATCGCAGAGTTCTTTCAAAGAACGGTTTCTTAACACTTTTTCTCCTAACTAATCACTTACATTTCACTTCAGAGCAAAAAAAAAAGCCCCCAACAGGTCTTCTCTGGGCAACTACAGCAGCGTCCTTGGGCTCACATATTCCTCCAAAGTCAGTGTGCAGTCGTGAGTTCTGACCCTGACCTTCAGTGTACCATCGTCTGTCCTGACTCCGCACTAGGCAGGGAGTGGAGCCCCAGCGTCTCTGGATGTTCCCCATTGGGCGGAACCTGCCTGTATTTTCTCAGCATTGCCCTGACTCTCCTCATGTGCCCCACACATCACCCCATACCCTCCTCTCTATCTTGTTCAGACGGCCCTCTCCCCAGACTGCTCTTCCTCACCCGACTCCTCCTTCCGCACCATCCCCCTTGTGATACACCTCTACAGTCCCCAGCTCTCAGCAGGCACCCCATCTTCTGTTCCCCCCGGGATCTGCACGTCCCTGATAGCACACAACTGCCCGCATGAAGTCTCCATCAATTGAGTATTTACTTTCCTAAAAATGAAGTCAGTCGTTAAGAGATTATCCCTGTGCCTACAGTTTACAAGTGGGTAAAGTAAGTGAATCGACGCCAGACTTCTATTGAAAGATTCAGGCAATTCATAACCATTTAATCTGTTCTTTGCCACTCCCCACTTCCTGTAATTGAAGAACACTGTTATAAATGTAGATTATGTTGCCACTTTCTCATGGTTCAGCAGCTTCCTTGGCAGAGAACTTCCTTGACATCCCCTTTAGAAATAAGGGAACATCATTTGTGTTTTCATTCTTCAAATAATTGTTCTGGAGAATCAGTAGAAATCAAGAGTGTATGACATGAGTGTGTATCTGTGTGTTCCTCAGCCTGTGGCAGCCACATCCTCACTGACTCCGTTGACACTATATCCTCTCCACTGTTCCCAAACAACTATCCGAAAAATCAGAACTGCAGCTGGATAATTCAGGCTCAGCCTCCCTGTAAGTAACAAAAATAAAAAAGAATCCAGGATGCATCGTGTCTGTGGGAAAGTCCAGCAGTGACTCATGTTCTTATCTCCTCGCTGGTAATGACTGATGGCCTTCCTCTCCTGTTTTTGGAAGTCCTAATTCCTCATGTGCAGGAGAACAAGGGCTTCCTAATCTGGTAGGAAGTCATTTTTGCTCTTTATTCTTGATTAATTTTCTTTTTATAAGTTTCAAGGCCTAGCAAAGGAAATAACAAAGCGAAAACCTATAACCTAGTAGAAATGACAGGCATGTGAAATTGGGGATTAACAAAAATACTGGATGAATAAATAGTTTTTGACTATTTGTCTTGACTGTAGTAGGTGCTCAAGGAAGACACTAAATGAATAAATGAACAATAAGAACCATAGACTAGAGAGTTAATAACTTATACTTTGGGGATGCGATGCCATGAGCATATTGGCCTTTGGTCAAGGTGGAAGTTAATGATAAAGCCTGATCTCTCTTGGTTATAAAATATGTTTTTAAAAGTCCCAGCATAGGCCTTGAAGAAGCATTCAATAAGTGCTTACACTGTGTTCTTTTTAGGATCCTAGAATCTTTCTGATCTGGTAACAATCTAGTGGTAAGGATTACCGTCCACATTTTACAGAGAAAATGAGGAGGCCACTAAGAACTCAAGCAAAATGACCGTGAGGAGGGTGACCCCGGGGCCATTGTGAATCTTGTTTCAAAGGAGCCCTGCTCTTCTTGAGGTTTTCAGGGGAAATTGATGACTTCAGACATAATGTGGGAAAAGCATTAAATTCTTGACTCCACTCTCTAATTAATGACCTGTGTGATAATAGGAAAGTCACTTAGGCTCACAATGCCCCATTAGCTAATCTAACAAATGAAGAGTTTGGCTTAAATATTCTCTAACATTTTTCCTAGGGATGTTAAACATTAACAAAAGGGTATCTTTATTGCTCTGCATATGATTTGGGGGTCAGTGATGTAACCCTTAGCCAAAGAAAGTAGCCAGCCAGCCAGGAACCAGTCCTTGGATAAAGAAGCTCCCGGCCTTGAGTACTGCAGCCTTGCCCCCAAGGATAGTTTCTAAACAGTTGTAAAGCTCTTAGATGAAAGAGCTCACTGGTGTAAAGACAGCAAAAGGAAAAGATCCTATTCTAAAAATTCAAGACCCTGGAAGAAAACAAAAGGAAAATGGACCCAGACTCAGACCATTCTGCAAGTAATTCAAAGCTTTCTTTAAAAATGACTGAACCTCCATGTCCCTGCTTCTGGACTTAAAGTAACACAGAAAATGCTAGGATATCTGTGTCAGGGAGGAAAATGTGTCTTATTTACAAGCACAAGTAAAGAATCAGAATTTAAGGAAGCTATTAAGAAAAATACTTCTGAGAGAAACACAGCAACAGCTGATACTTTCCCTATCATCCATGAAGTAAACCCACCCCAGGGTTCTCTTACCAGCAACAGCATTTCAGAGTCTACGGACCTTTTAAAAAGCTTTTCAGTTACTCTTCAGACAAAAAGCTTTTAGGATAGTAGTGGTTATTTCTCCTCTATGCCCCTGTCGTCTTGTGCACAACTGTTAAATTCATCAGTTCTTTGCCAGAGAACCAGCAGGTGAAAGGATCAGGGGTGAAATCTTGTTCCCTGTATGTTTTGTTTGCCAGAACTTTATTAAACAGTTTTCCCTTCTTCCCTTACAGTCAGTCATATCACCCTATCCTTCAGCCACTTTAGCCTTGAAAGCAGCACACCATGTACCCGAGATTTTGTAGAGGTGTTGGACGGCAGCCACGACGACGCACCCCTCCGCGGTATGGCCTGCTCCTCACTCACTTCCGTGGCCTGGGCTTTTTACAGTTTCTGTACTTACGTGTGTATATGCTGTCCTCAGAGGTTAGAATGTTTCCAGTAGCTGTGAAGACTGTCGTAAGCCAAGTAAAGATACTGAGAGGCTGAGGAAGCAGGGTTCAATGTTTGAGAAACTCAGCTCATTCATCTTCAAGGACATGAATAGTTTATGTATTTTTTTTTAATTGAAAAGTTGCAACTGCTTTAAACAGTAGTAAAATGCAATCCCTTCTAACATTAGATAGTATTCTGTGGGAAATTTCTTGTTACTATTTGACCACAGTTCTCGTCTTCAAATTGAGCATGTTTCTTTTGGTTTTGTCCTCAGTGGAAGAAAAGTAATGGATAGATGGATGGATGGATAGATAGCTGTAATGGATAGGTAAATACATATATATATTATATATGTTATATATATAATATATATTATATATATATAAATACACACACACATTGGATGGATGGATGGATGGATGGATGGATGGATGGATGGATGGATGGATGGTTGGTTGGTTGGTTAGATGGATGGATGGTTGGATGAATAGGATAGATAGATGATAGATAGATATACAGACAGACAGGCAGGTAGATATTATGGAGTTCTGTATGTAAGACATCCCAGTAAAATTAAAGAATGTTGCTTATAGTTTCTGTAATGTTCTCAAACAAAATAATCTCAGGTTATTTTGGGAAGATCCCCTGGAGAAGGGAATGGCTACCCACTCCATTATTCTGGCCTGGAGAATTCCATGGACAAAGGAGCCTGGCATGTATACATGTATCTATATACATATAATTCCATAGACAGAGAAGCCTGGTGGTCTACAGTCCATGGGTTCACAAAGAGTCAGACATGACTGAGCGACTTTCACTCACTCACTCATTTAAGTGTCCTCTATGAGTCACTCCTGTTTGAGCTTTGTCACTCCAGCTCCTTATCCTGCAGTAGAAGACAGTTTCCATCCGAGAAGGGACTTTGTTTTGCTCATGACTGTGTTCTCAGTACCCAGAACAGTGCCTGAGATGATAGTAGGCAATTGACGAATGCTCTCTGTGGACTTCTGATTGTATTCTTTGTGATTTTTGTCTGTAAGCATTTGACCATGGTCAAGGATATATTATTTAACAGACACTTATATAACCTTGCACTGAGCACTACTCTGAACTTTATAATAGTAAACTTTATAAATAGTACTATTTATAGTACTATAGTACTATACTATAGTGCTACAGTACTATTTTTTTATAAAGTTCTATTTATTGAAAAACTTTATAAATAGTAACTCAATTCTTATACCCTTATGACATAGAACTTCATTATTATCCATGTACCTGTTTCTCAAGTGGAGAAACTGAGGCACAGAAAACTTGAGTAGCTTGACTCCCATCGCATAGCTGGTAAGTGAATTCAGGTGTTCTGGCTCCAACATCCACAGTTTCTCAGCTACTGTGTCTTGCTGTTAAGTATTAGCCCACTTCTTTGTGCAGATGCCTACTGACCTGGAGAGTTACATTTGGAAGTTTTCTGTGTTTCCCTTACCTTCCCCTCACAGTCTTTGTCATATTTATAAATGTGTTCACAGTTTATTTTGAATCATCAGGCGTCATCCCAAACACTGACCCTGATCTAAATGGTTCTCTCGTAGTGGTTTCTTGTGTTTGCTTTGGTCTCTTGTGATTTTAGTGAATACATGTTGGCATATCATCATTCATTCTCCTTGTCAATATCATTATTATTTAGGCCGATACTGTGGCCGCTCCATGCCCCATCCTATCACTTCCTTCAGCAATGCTCTGACGCTGAAGTTCATCTCAGATTCTACAGTGAGTTCTGGTGGTTTCCATGCCACATATGCTGCATCCACGTCAGGTAAGAAATGTTAGCAAGTGGTGCTACTAGGTTAAGAGGAATGTGTAGAAAATGCTTGAATTATTATTTGGGATTCCCTTACACTTCGTGTTCTGAACTAGTTTCGTAGATCACCTCTGTGACTCATTTTACTGTCTTTCAAATTTGGTTAACATGCTTCTAAATTCTAACAGCTGTGAACTCTGTACCACATCTTCCTTACCCATTAACAGACATTTGTTCCCATACCTTGACTACAGTGATTAACGCTGCTCAGGGTGAGCACTGAAGTGGGGAGAATTGGTTGGGATGATCTTGGGTGACTTGCTTGCCAGTGTGTCCTCGTTCTCCTTCTTGATGTGTTTGTTAAGGGAGCCCCTGATGGGCAGCGTCCAGTGGTGTCTCTTACGGGCGGACAACTGCCGCTCTTCAGTCTCCCTGGCCTGACAGCTGCGCCCAGGCGGGGCTGGGTGTCTTCAGGGATGCAGGATGGACCATGGCATGTGATGGACCGTGGCACATGGGGAGAAGGGGAAAGAGGAGCACCCAGTAAGAGGCTGTGAGCTAGGATAGTTCTGCTTGTCAGCGCCCTCATTATTAGCTGTTAAAAGCCTTAGAAAGCCTTGGAGATTTGTGCAGGTTGTGTGCTCTCCTGAGAAGGAAATGTTGAAATATTGCTTTCCTTTCTAGGCCAGGGGTGAAAATCATCCTGGTCAGAAATACTGAGGGAGTGTAGGATTAAAATGAGTCTTTTATTACATAAAGCTATAGTTCACAGGGAGAAAAATCTTTTAGAAAAGAAACTACAGGGGTTCCTTTTAATCCACCATACCTAGTGGCTTTTAGTTTTCAAGTTACAGAATCTTTTCCTTATTATTATATATTCCATGGATTTTTTTTTATTATGAAATGAAAATAGTACATCCTTTGATGCTCCTAACAGCTCTTCTAGTGTTTTTTCTCTATCTTATGGTACCTTGTATTCAACATTTACTCTGCCACTCACTTTGTTTCTCTTTTCTTCTAGCTTGTGGTGGAATATTCCACATGGCTGAAGGCATCTTCAACAGTCCTGGCTACCCAGAAGTTTATCCTGCTAATGTGGAATGTGTCTGGAACGTCGTCAGTTCCCCTGGCAACCAGCTCCAGCTGTCTTTTATGTAAATCCTTTTTTTTATAGTGTATTGTTTCAGTGAGAATGAATCTGCAGGAAGGAAGCACTGTTACTAATAGGATGGACAACTAATAGCATATGTGTCCAAACAACTGTTAAAAGGATATGGTGGGAACTTCAAGGAAGTCTGTTTGCATATTTCCTCTGTTTTAGTCATAGTTTAGGTTATAAATAGCATTAAACTTCTCTTATGAATGGTTTTAGAGTCCTGCCTAACATTATCAAGAGTACATGCCTGAGCTCTTGGCATGTTTTAATTTTTGGAATTCTCATCTTCAGATAACATTAATTTTATCTTTTTTTAAAAAACCTTGGAAATATTTAGACTCTTCCAGAGAATCACTATCATTATTTCTTCCAGCAGAAATCCCCATCTCAATTAAGCCTTCTTTACTCATATGCCTTATCTCCACCCCAATCCACTTTTTCTTCTTACTCCTAGCAAGAAAAGGATTTTGGAAGTATTTGAAACTGTTGGCCTGACAAAAATACCTATTTTTGTCAGATATTTTTTCCAACAAAGATGGGTTTATTTGGAATTATCAGAGAACTGCAATTTGAGGCCTGCAACCATAGTGAGCCACATGCAAGTCCCTGTATAGAAAGAGAAGGAGAACACTCCTATAGAGAAGAAAAGGAAGTTGAGAGAGCCATAGTAAACATTCTTCTCATTGGTTGAGCCCTTCCGGAAGAAAGGGAGGTCTTTCTCCTTCCTGTTGGACACTGCTGTTTCTGCAGGGCATGAGAGTGCCCCCCTTTTGGTATTCGACTCTATTCAATTGAAATTCTATTTATTGACTTTTTACATGTCCCCCTTTTGGTCACAATCTTTCTCTGAAACACTGCTGATCTAGAGTCAGGGTTTCTGGTTTCAGCAGTTTTCTGTGTGCCTATGTCAAGAAGGACCTTTCCTGGTGTAGTATCTCATGTCAGAGGGAAAGTGCACAGACTGGAAACCTATTGAGGTCACATCTGTGTAGCTAGGAGTGGGAGGGAGAATGCTCAGGTACTTTTAATCCAAAGCCCATTTGATATCAAGATCATAGACACTGGAGACTGTCTGAAGCCATCTGTTATCATCAGAGGTTTGGCCACAAACATCTAACAGGCCTAGTCTGGATATCTTGGGAAACTGTCTAATCGGATGTCATCTGCTTCAATTCTAGAAAATCTTTGCTTCAGGTCACCAGGTGATATGCAGGTCCAATCAGGGTTCAGTGATTTCTTTAGGTGAACCATATGAATCCAAGAGTCTATTCCTGAGAGCTTGGTTTCACAGGGTTGGTTAGAGGTACCCAATAGGGGCCTTTCCAGTGAGGATGAAGTGAGTTCTTCTGAAGTAGTCTTTTCCAATTGACAAAATCTCTAGGTTTCAAGATGTAACGCTTAATGTTTTCATTTCTCAAAGGTACACTATGAAAAAATTATGCTATTAAAACATGGTTACTTTTAATAGCAGCAATTAATCCCTTGCAGTATTAGAATCTCTTTTTATCAGTTGTGGGTCAAAATAAGTGAGAGCCAAGTGCACTGGAAATTCTGGGGCTATCTCAAAAGATAAAGAGTTTATAAGTTTCAAAAGGGGAGGATACAAGATTTAGAAGGACTGATAGCAATGCTTTTGACCAAGGTGTTTGGAGGGCTTCTATAAATTTGGCCAACTGAGTCTTAATGATGCTGTTTGGTGTTCAATTAAATCGGGGGATTGAAAGTGGTAAGCACAGTGGAAGTGCTGTAGAACTAGTCAACCAGCACACTTGTCAGAGTACCTGGCCAGTAGAATGGATTGCCTCAGTCACTGTGAAGTCTGAGAGGAGTTCCCCAGGTAGGGATCCTCTTTTCCAAAAGGACTTTTGCCACGGAAGAACGAGCAGCCTGTCTGCAAAGGAAGGCCTCAGTCCACTGTGAAAACATATAGACCACGACTAAAACATATTTATATCCATTAGAGGAAGAAATTGTATAAAATCCATTTGCCAGAGCTTGAATGGTCCATTAGGCAATTTAAAATGTCTGGGAGCAGCACAGACAGGCTTCCCTCAGTTCTACTTTGGAGGAGTGGGACAAGTGAGGTAGGCACTTTTCTCAGTCTTGTTAATGTGTCCTCTCTGATAAACTGATTCATGAAGGCAATCATCTTGTCAGTAGAACAATGGTTTAATGCATACACAGTGGTGGGGAGTGGGAGTTTTAGAGTGTCTGGTAGCAATAAGTTGCTATTTGATGCAAACCAGAGCTTTCTCTTTTTATCAAACCAACAATAATTGAATTTCCAAACTTGTTTTCCTGTTTCTGAGGCCAATTTCTGGGCTTCTCTACCCAGTTTTTCTAAATTTCCCTTTGGACCATGACAGAAGTTTGGTTGCTATTAGTTCCTTTAAGGGCAGCATTCCTTATAAAACTATTGTCAAGGTGATTTTCCTTAGCTTACAGAGAGTCAGGTTCAGTGTCCCAGAACCTTAATAATAGCTAAAGTGCCAAGGGAAAGTATCACATTTAATAATTCCTAAACTCGAGGGGAGGCATTTAAAACTTTTTTGCCCCTGGAAGTAAGGAGAGCATATTGCTTAGTAAGGAAGACACATTGGCCCCACAGTATTCCAAAATTATGAGCTGCTCCAAAAGCATATCTACTATCAATATCAATATTAGCAGTTTTATCCTTGGTTAAAGTATAAGCCCATGTAAAAGCATATAATTCAATCTGGGCCAAAGTAGCCTTAAGTAAGGATGCTGCTCAGCAACAGCAAAATGAGTCTTAGTAGCATGTTGTTTAGTCACTAAGTCGTATCTGACTCTTTGCAACTCCATGGACTGTAGCCTGCCAGCCTCCTCTACCCGTGGGATTTCCCAGGCAAGAATCCTGGAATGTGTTGCCTTTCCTTCTCTAGAGGATCTTCCTGACCCAGGATTGAACCTGTGTCCCTTGCATTGATGGCAGATTCTTTGCCACTGAGCCACCGGGGAAGCCCCCATGATAGCATATCTGGAACTATTAATGTGTTTGCCATTGTCACCTTTTAATTGAGAACATAAGAGACTACTACCAGCAGCTCTATGCCAATAAAATGGACAACTTGGAAGAAATGGACAAGTTCTTAGAGAAATATAACTTTCCAAAACTGAACCAGGAAGAAATAGAAGATCTTAACAAACCCATCACAAGCAAGGAAATCGAAACTGTAATCAGAAACCTTCCAGCAAACAAAAGCCCAGGACCAGATGGCTTCACAGCTGAATTCTACCAAAAATTTAGAGAAGAGCTAACACCTATCTTACTCAAACTCTTCCAGAAAATTGCAGAAGAAGGTAAACTTCCAAACTCATTCTATGAGGCCACCATCACCCTAATTCCAAAACCAGACAAAGATGCCACAAAAAAAGAAAACTACAGGCCAATATCACTGATGAACATAGATGCAAAAATCCTTAACAAAATTCTAGCAAACAGAATCCAACAACATATTAAAAAAATCATACATCATGACCAAGTGGGCTTTATCCCAGGAATGCAAGGATTCTTTAATATCCGCAAATCAATCAATGTAATACACCACATTAACAAATTGAAAGATAAAAACCATATGATTATCTCAATAGATGCAGAAAAAGCCTTTGATAAAATTCAACATCCATTTATGATTAAAACTCTCCAGAAAGCAGGAATAGAAGGAACATACCTCAACATAATAAAAGCTATATATGACAAACCCACAGCAAGCATCACCCTCAATGGTGAAAAACTGAAAGCATTTCCCCTGAAATCAGGAACAAGACAAGGGTGCCCACTCTCACCACTACTATTCAACATAGTTTTGGAAGTTTTGGCCACAGCGATCAGAGCAGAAAAAGAAGTAAAAGGAATCCAGATAGGAAAAGAAGAAGTGAAACTCTCGCTGTTTGCAGATGACATGATCCTCTACATAGAAAATCCTAAAGACTCTACCAGAAAATTACTAGAGATAATCAACGAATACAGTAAAGTTGCAGGATATAAAATTAACACACAGAAATCTCTTGCATTCCTATACACTAACAATGAGAAAACAGAAAGAGAAATTAAGGAAACAATACCATTCACCATTGCAACAAAAAGAATAAAATACTTAGGAGTATATCTACCTAAAGAAACAAAAGACCTATACATAGAAAACTATAAAACACTGATGAAAGAAATCAAAGAGGACACAAACAGATGGAGAAATATACCGTGTTCATGGATTGGAAGAATCAATATTGTCAAAATGGCTATACTACCCAAAGCGATCTACAGATTCAATGCAATCCCTATCAAACTACCAACGATATTTTTCACAGAACTAGAACGAATAATTTCACAATTTGTATGGAAATACAAAAAACCTCGAATAGCCAAAGTAATCCTGAGAAAGAAGAATGGAACTGGAGGAATCAATCTGCCTGACTTCAGACTATACTACAAGGCCACAGTCATCAAGACAGTATGGTACTGGCACAAAGACAGAAATATAGATCAATGGAACAGAATAGAAAGCCCAGAGATAAATCCACGAACCTATGGTCACCTTATCTTTGACAAAGGAGGCAAGGATATACAATGGAAAAAAGACAACCTCTTTAACAAGTGGTGCTGGGAAAACTGGTCAACCACCTGTAAAAGAATGAAACTAGAACACTTTCTAACACCATACACAAAAATAAACTCAAGATGGATTAAAGATCTAAATGTAAGACCAGAAACTATAAAACTCCTAGAGGAGAACATAGGCAAAACACTCTCCGACATAAATCACAGCAGGATCCTCTATGACCCACCTCCCAGAATTTTAGAAATAAAAGCAAAAATAAACAAATGGGACCTAATGAAACTTAAAAGCTTTTGCACAACAAAGGAAACTATAAGCAAGGTGAAAAGACAGCCCTCAGATTGGGAGAAAATAATAGCAAACGAAGCAACAGACAAAGGATTAATCTCAAAAATATACAAGCAACTCCTCCAGCTCAACT